TTGGACAATGGTTCTATCAGTTGTGTAAATATTTAATTAAGGAGTGAATTGCAAGTTAGAATCCTTCAAAGTGAGATTATTAAACATGGCTATGTGATTTGGTCCATTGTGCATCACAAATCCTACCTTGTAAAACAACTTGAAACCCTAATTTCTTGCCTTCGATTCTCCTTGCTCAAAAATGATCTCAAGGAGTTCTTGGACATTTTAGAAATCTTGTAATGTGATCTACAACCCCTCTTTGAATCATTTTTGCAAAATCCAATTGGAACTATGTGAAACTTGGCCCAGAAGTTAGGTCAAAATCCTGACCAAAATGCTCAAAATTGTGTTTTAGTTTTATGAACATGATTTCATGGATTAATAACTTGAAATCCAAGCATTTCTAGGAGGAGTTGTGTTCATCAATGTTTTAGATCTCATTGAGCTCTACAACTTTCATGTTGAAAGTTTCCTTTGAATCATCTTGCATCATGGTAAAAAAATTGGCTCAAAGTTGTAAAAAATATGAAGTTTTCAACACTTGGAAAAATTTCTAAGTTTGGAAACTTTGACTTTTCAAAATGAAATCTTGAATTTTTTATTTCTTGATGAACAAGTTTTATATTTTGACATGTTTTGATGAATTATGATCTTTGACACTTGATTTTGACCAAACGGTCAAAGTTTGACTTTTCAGTGTGCAGTTGACTTTTGATCAGTTGACTGAAAATCAACTATCAATTAATTGACCTTGAGCAATGTTTTGAGTCATGCCATTAGGTTAAAATGATGCAATTGAATCCTTGAGATCATGTTTCCAACCAATCAACCATTTGCTAGGTCAAAAATCAGAAATTGTCTTTTCTCAATCAAAACCCTAATTTTGACCATTTTGGCCTTTTGATAATCTGATCAGATTTATTAAGGAATTATGGTCCAAACTTGATCAAATGACATATATGAGTTCACAATGTTGATATGGATCAAAAATTATGAAGTTTAACTGTAAATTGACTACAGTTGACTTTTTTCCCAATACAGTTGATTTTTAGGTCAACTGATCAATTTCCTGAGCAAAAATGTGATCCAAGACTTGAAACTTGACATGAGCAATCTTGAGAGTCCAAAATGATCCATGAAAGTCATATGAGACATTAAAAGTTCATTTGTCCTTGTGCAATCTCAAACCCTAATTTTCAGTCATCAGTGCTTAAGGAGGTGTCTTGAACTGATCAACCCTTGTGCAGTCTTGAACCAAAGAAAATCTTGTGAGAAAATAATTGATAAATAAGAGGGAAAATTTTGGAGTACAACAGATGGCCTCAGTCCCATAGTGTGGATTGGGTGCAATTTGTGATGTACTATGGTTCCAAACGGGAATCGGCCCTATTGGTGGGGATCTATGGAGAAAACGATGACAGTGTCATCAGTGAAGTTTCAGTACCACATGCATGAATCTAAAGAAGTTGCATTGCATTATATGTGACATTGCGTGATGATTTATTTGACTGATGTTTTTTGAATGTATGTTTGTGATAATTGTTAATTGATGGTATTACCATGTGTCTGATGCGTATTATGATGTTTAAAGGTGTGAGTATGATGTGAGGTTTCGATGGTGTGTTTCTTTGGTGTTGTATTATAACTACTATATTTACTCCTTATGTTTTTTATAATGATTATGATTTACTCACCCTTGCTACTTGAAAATATTGCCTTTATACGTGGGTAACTTGTAGGTAATCAAGAATAGTTCGTCGAGGCTTAGAGGATAGCTGCGGAGTGTGTTCTTTATTTCCTGTAGAATAAAGAGGTCTTGCTCTGATATGTAACAGCGGGGATGGGATCGTTTGTTTTGAATAGTCATGTTATTTTTATTGAGATTTGAACTACCACTGTGGTATTTGAGTTGTTTTGACTTGATGAAGTTATATAGAAGTATTTAAGTAAAGATGCTTTGAATTATGAATTTCTATTGTGAGTAAGTTGAAAAACTATGATTGTTAATCATGAAGTACTTAATGTAATTGATTTTTTTAAAAACATGTGTTACGGAGCAGGATGTATTTTACTATAAAGTCCATTTAAAGCAATGTGACACCCTTTTTGGTGCATTACTCTGATATAATTATTGAATTATTCTGCGAATATTCTTGGAGTTTATAAGGGTGTTACAACTGCCATTTTTTAGCCAACCTTGTGCTTCCTTTGAGACATCGATTTTACAGTGGGGTCAATGGCTAGACAATGGCACACCATTATGGTATTTATGCCTGAAATATATGAAGGTGCATGGGCGAACATGTAAACATTCCTCTCAAGCATGGTGATTAACTCTTCTTCTTCAGATTCAAACAGGGACGCACCCAACTTGGTGACTTGGTTGTTCAAGAGGCCAATATGAACCTTTTTAAAGTCATTTGTTGGGGTAATGATTTTATTATCTATCCATAACTTAGAGTCCCGTCTTGCTAAATCAGTGTCACATGCGTATGGATGAGGTGGCAGTGCCCAGGGAAACGGGTTCCATCCTCATTTACCAGTTGTTCTGATAGTATTCCTGGGTGATATCCTAGTCCCCATAACTAAACTAGCCATTTCATCAAGTAATGAGTATTTGAGGCTTCAATGAAGAGTGGACATGACCTCCCCTTGTAAGTTAAGAGCGAGTCTTCCAAGGATGGCGTTGTAAGGAGACAAGGCATATATCACAAAATACTTCACTTCAATCGTTTTGGCGCTGGCCTTTGAGCAGAACATTATTTTAAGCGTTATGTGGCCATTTACATGTACTTGTTCGTCTAAAAGGCCAATCAAAGAACCTTGGAACGCTAAGATAAAGTTGGGGTCGAGTTGAAGTCTCTGGAAGGTGCTCCAAAATAGGATGTCCATTAAGCTACCAAAGTCAATTAATACTTGCTTTACATCCCAATTGTTGTACTAAACCATGATGACCATGGGGTTATTGGTAGGAGGAAAAATGCCAACAACGTCTTCACTCGAGAAAGTGATTCTTGATTCTTGATCCTTCCTTAGGACTATGGCAGCATTAGCTAGTATGATGTTTGCTATAAAAACCTGAGGAGTGTATTTTCTCCAAGACGAACTAGATTCTCCTCCACTTATGAAACCTCTGACGATGGTGTTCAAGGTGATATTGGAGCTTTTCTTAAGTATCCTCATGAGAAAATGGTGAAAAATATGGTGAGTAACGACGAGTGTGGCCCATATCATTTATATTAGGCTCCACGATGGTCGTCAATTGTACTTGCTAAAAAGTTTAGTACGTGAAAACCCCTAGTGGTTAAGGGTTGTAAGAGGTTTACGTATGTTGTAGGGTTGATATCTAGCTCATGTAAGGGGTGAGAAGCTCTGTGAATATGGTTTTCTGTGTGAAAATAAGAATGTCCTTCTCAACTCTATCGTTGAGATTTTTATAGCAGTCTTGGACATTTTGGGAATAGCAATTACTACTGAGAAGATGCATGAATTGACGATTAATTATATGATATTTCATATAACATGGTCAAATGACCCCTTCTTTATTATTATAGAATATGGATACATCATCTCCCCACTTTCCTATATCGGGGGACCATTCCAATGGAGTAATGTGTTTAATGAAAAAGGTGACACATCTAGTTAACGGGCGATCGAAGAGGCAATATAGACTTAACTCGCGTTCCTTGTCTCCACCTCACCTAGGGATGGCAATGAATAGGATTTGGATAGGGTAATATAATACTCGTCCTCCTACTCGTGGTTTGAAACAAATCTTGTCCTCAAACTCATACTCGCGTAAACACCAACATTTATACATGTACACGTACTATATAGATACCTAAGTACCTATACACATATCCATCCACCCGCATTTTTAATAAAAAAATATCGATCAATTTTATCATGTCATTTAAAAAAATTTAACATTAGAAAAAATTAAAGATATTATAGAGTTAAGAAACAAACAAATATTTATATTAAAATGAGTATAAATTTAATACTGGTGTATTTATTAAAATGTGTAAATTAATATGTATATATAATAATAAAAATAAAATTATATAAATATATATTGTACGGGTATAAGGCAGAGTGGATTATAAAATACTCGTACTCATATTCATACTCACTTATTTTAGTAGATAATTACTTGTGCCCATATCCGTATCTATTTTGAGATTTTTTACCATATTTATTGTGGATAATATTTGTGGATATCTACCTGAAATGAGTGCAATTGTCATCCATGTCCTCGCTCCTTATGGACCCTTTTTAGGATATACCAATATAAAAAATAAATCCATGTGAACATAGTGGTTGCGTCTACACATGTGAACTTATATGGCCCTAAAAGTCACTATATGTAAGTTCAAGAGGAAAAATGAATTCAATGTGTGAAGGTGGAGCATAAAGGTTGTGTGATTTTCCTACATAACAGAAAGAACAAAATAAAAAATAAAGAATCTTCTTTATTATTTGAAACATGAATGTTACATTTGTGCGATACAAGATTCAACATGTTTTATTGGGATGAGCTAATCTTAAGTGAGAAAGAGAGTAAGAGCTAGGTAACAACATGTCAACATTACTAACATAGAAGTACACCAGGAAGAGGAAATATTGGCATGGGAAACTAGACATGAGCTTGAACTTGAGGATTGCAATTTAAGGCTGGAAAATTCAGAGAGGCCGTCAAGTTATAATGATCCTTCTAAAATAATAACATCATTTTCCTGAGATAACAAACATAACGATTAGGATAAAACACAAAACAAGAGTTATTCTTTACAACTATTGGCACTAATGAGATTTTTGGCAATATAAAGGACATGAATTAATTTATCTAAGATTAAATCCATATGAGATATGATAGGAGAAGATAAACGAGAAGAACCAGATGAGAGAATAAGAAAACCTTAGTCATTTCTTATGCAGATCTGCATAGATCCTTCAGACGACACTCATTGTTTGAACTTTTAAGAGATATTTGTGACATGATATGGGGCTCCTTAGTCATGGAAGGAATGTTGGTGAGAATAAGATATGGAGCATCACAGTTGGTGAGCATAATATCTAAGGGTATGAGGGTTGAGGTTAAACTTGAGGATAGGTCTGAGGTGGAGGACGTGACCATGAGTTAGGGTAACCATAAGACAAGTTATTGGATGCAGAGTGATTAACATAAGGAGACCAGACACTTGTGAACATTCGTTCGTCACCATAAATAGATGCGTGAAAATGTTGGTTAAAACGTTGATAGTGCAAGGCAATTATGTGATCAAATCAGAGTTATTAATTCCGAATAGCGGACCAGTCAACTCCAAAAATGGATAGCAGGATAGCGTAATATCTTTGGTTGACTTTTTAAAATTGATTATTTTTAAATTAAATATATGATAATCTATACAAACTACACAACTCCATAAAGGTTTAATGAAAATCTAATTAATAAAATAATAATGGATTAAAGTGATATATATTATTTATTTTTTTATTATTAATATTATTATTTACAGCTATATATGACTTGGAAATATTCAATATGTATATAATTTACTAGAAGGATACATTTTGGCAATATTTATTCTATTAAAGTGCCTTATTCAACTTTTTTACGGCTGTACTCAGCTGTTGTGGTACAAAATACTAAATAAATTTATTACTTTTTCAATAAATTATTTAGCTATACGTAGCTTTTATCCTCTACCTCTTCGTCTTGTTTCTTTTTTGGAAACTGTGTTCCTGCGCGGTGGATCACGATTAACAACTTACGTGTGGCAAGTTTGGTCCAAAATTATTAATCGCGACCCACCGCGCGAGAACAAGGGTGCGGTTGCGCCATCCAAAAAAGAGTGTGGTAGTACGCAGTTCATACCTAAGCTAACTTGCACAAGCACAGATCAACTTATGAAAGTGTGTGTGAATATGATCCTTGAGATGATGAATGCCAACACAACCAATTGATCCAGACAATGTTGACTGAAGCCAAAATTATTTTTAAAAATTACAAGAAAATTATTTTTAAAGTTAAGTCGCTCAATCTAAACAAACTATAGAATAAGAAGTTTCATTTATTACATTCAGAACAAAAACTAATGAATTAAAATAAAAAGTTCAATGAATCATTTGGGTAGTTAATTTTGAATGAGAAATTGACTTTTCTTATACAATGAAATTATATATATCACTTCATTTTAAGGGCGAACTTGTATTTTTTTTAAATAAAATTATTCTTTTTCACTTTCTAACAGTAGAAGAGAGGAAACTTACTTCTCTCTAACTATTTCTTTCATATCAAACATTAAATCAAATCACTATTTTCGAACCACCTTGGTTTAAATACACCAAATGTATCACCAGAATAATACTCGATGGAACAGAAATGACAAAGCCTTAATCACCATTTTATTTTACATAAAAAGCTCTACTCTTATTATAACATGATAGATTCATACATTCACAGATCGATAAATTGAATGGATTATTACGAATTCATGCAGTTTTACTGTCGCTGGTATATGTACATAGTATATATTAGAGCTGTGAAAATCAAGATTAACAAAATATGGCATCTCAACAAGTCTTCTTCATATGGCATGAGGTCTCACATAAAAAAAAACTTACATACTACACTTGTTCCTGCTGTACTGTAGGAACTGGTGCTATCGCAAATTGTAGACCTCTACGCTGCCCAGAATTTAGAACAAAAGCAACTTGGGTTGCCGCTAGTGCTGCTGCCTCCTGTTCAAAATACAAAAAACAGTAAGAAAATCACAGAATATAGCGTAATTTCAAATCACAGAATTTAGTCATGGACACTGACTTGTCTTTGTCGCCGCCGTTGCAGAATACTGATTGCCCAAGCCATGATATAGCAAGGTAAAAGAAATCCAGCAGCTCGAAGCAAGAAAAGCTGTAGAAGATGGTAGACTTATTAGGTTGGCTCCCGTGACATTTGAAATCAATACACTAGTAGACAGTAGGCTTGGGAACAATTTTAAATAATAGACTCAGACCACTTACGGAGAAAAAATTGGATGGATCATCATCAGAAGAATCACCATCTGTTACAGAGAGTGCATGCCGCAGAAGTAAAAGGGCCATCAACTGTATCAAATAAAAAGAATTGAGCTTAAAATAATGTCCACTGGCTAGCATACTACTGATATAGTCAATACAAACACCAAACAAATGCAGCGAAGCACCAGGGCTCTTAGCAAATACAATTAATTAATTTCTTCTATATTCTAAACATATATATAGGCTGGTGCAGATAAAAATAATGAAATTCTAGAGTTTAGTTAAGTGGAATGCAAGATAAATAATGCCTTACAATTAGGGCAGCTGAGCGACAAAAAGCAGCTCCACTGGCATTAGAAGCAGCATACTCATCATATTCTGCATCAAGGAATTGACGCTCTGCCTCTGCAATTGCCAATAGGCGAGGATCACGCAAGTCCAAGGGCGAACCAGATAATGTCCAGCCTCCTCTACAAGAAAGTTGGTCACAAATTAAGTAGACAAGTTCAAAATGACAACAAATAAATCATTGTAGCCTCTAGATAACTTGTAAAGTAAATAACGAGCATAGAACTAATGCAACATAATCAATCAAATACTATTTAAAATTTTATATGTATGTATACCGTCTTACCCTATTTCAATAGTGGTTTCTTCAGGATTAGGGCGAGGTGGTGGGGCTGTATACCCAGGTTGATAAGGCTGGGCATTACATGCACATGAGAAAAAGGGCAATGATAAGAGATAAGAACAAAAGTAATTTAATTGGAAGTAATTCAATACACACATGATAATGAGCACTGTGTTCAATTAAAAAGGTTGAGAAAAACCACACAAGATAGTGTTACAATATGAGAATACAGATAAAGTGTTTTAAAAACCGAACCGAGTGTCAAACTTGACGTAGACCTCCGGGTCATGGTTAGCCAGAGTGAAACCACTATCAAATGGTCAAAATAATTGAACCGTAATAAAATCCAGTTCAAGGTTCAATCGATTGAACCGTTTACTTAATTTTTTTTGAAACATTGGTAAAACAGCCAAGAAATGTAATTTAGATATGCACATGCCTAAAGTTTCCATGTTCCACCCAATTTATCTAAAACAACGTCAAAACAGATTTATTTCTGTCATTCACATGCCAAACAACAATCAGAACATCAAAGAATGATCGTGACAACGTTAGATTCATGGCGAAATCCACAGTCCCACAACAATAAGGCGATGAAACTCTGAAGTTGAATCTCGGTGGTGGTGGTGGTGGTGGTTGTGGCAGCAGCATTAGAAAAAGAGCAAACAAAAGAGTATGTTCAAAATCCCCTTCTGGGACAGCACGTGTATCTGATGTGTTAAGTTGATAACCATAAAGAAGTTGTATCAAAAGCAAAGGATTATCATGGAAGGTATAAAGTGTGTGTGAAGCTCATAGTAAAGATTTGAAGGCTTTACTTGGGAATCAAATGAAAACGGTTTTGTTAACAGAGCAGTAGGCTTCACCCTTAATTAGAGTTTGATGAAGGAACGAAGGTGGTGTTGAAGACTTTGCTGGACACACAATCGAATTGGCAGGTGATTTGGAGAATTGGTCAGAGTTAAGAAGGTCGCTGAGTTTGGAGACGATGAAGGCGACAGCGGAGCCAGTTCCACAATGGTGGAGTTAGCAGGAAGAGGAGAAGACAACAATGCGGATTAGAGTGAAGACTATGGTGAAGAAAATGAGGAGGAATAAGAAAAGTCAGAGGCAAAGAGAGAGAAAGGGTCTTGAGCAGTTGAATTGAAACTGGTACAAAACCTTAATCACAAAATGGTACCCGGTTTTTAGGTTTGGGCCTTAAATGGTCCAGTTCGGTTTTTATCAAATTGTTCCGGACTTTAAAAAATGGATGCAATAGAGTACTGGATCAGTTAAGGGTGCCCAATTTTAATGAACACCCCTACTTGCCATGTTGATACACAAACTTGGTGTCAACTTTACACAATCGAAGCTCTGCTGTCAATGAAGAAAGGCCATCTCAATGGCATTTATTTGAGAAGAAAAGGAAGGGCGCTGCAGAAGAGAGGATTGATCTGAAATCAGTATGTGGGCCCATGATTCTATCAGATTGAGTACACATACATATGCATAGGATGGTTAGGCAGAGTGTTAAATAAGAGTTAGACTGATAAAACTAGTCACAAAAAATAACAGATAACTAAAAGAATAAGAACTCACATAATTTCCTATCACCAACCAAAAGATAACAGATAACTAAACTTTATATAGGAGAAAAACATACCTGATGACATATCTCACAAGTTATGTCTCCTTTCTCATTGCACCAATGCTGGACACACTTTCTGTGAGCATACTGTGCAAAACCAAATACAACGAGTTCAAGAATCAGGAAGACCGAAAACAGACAGAAGAAATAAAAGTCAACATCGCAAACAAGAACACTGTTCCTCCACACACACCCTTCTCTAAAATTCTCAGCCTCTATATAAGAATGAGTGAAGAACAACATCAGATTAATGAACTAATAGAGTAAATTGCAGAAAGCAAAAATACAGTTTCTCACAAGATCATTTAGCTCTCAATTTGCAACTCGGTTAATTAAGTACACTAAACATATATCTTAACAGAATATTTCATAAACTCAAAACCAGAAGAGCACACCTACAGGCACAGCACAAAACATAAAAAAATAAATAAATACATAAAACTTCTACATAGGCAAATGCATACTCTTGTATGGAAAGAAACAATAAATTCCATAGACACAGATTCTGAAAGGTTAAATTAAATAACACAAACAAAAATAACTCTAAAAATGTTTCTTCCATTTTTCATATCCAAATTAACAAACACATCCACAAAACACAAAACTCATTAAAATCAACAAACCCAAACCAAAAAAAAAAAATCCCCTTCTAATCCAATAATAACACAATACCCTAAAAAATTAAAATCCATTAAAAAAAACATAAAATCACAAAAGATCAAATTTTTATATACCTTAAGACTACCCCTGCAAGCACAGGGAGTCTCCAAATTGGAAACACTATCCTCCTCCTGACAGATACGGCACTCCACCATCTGGATCAACGGTTCCTCCTCACCACAATCCTCTCCATCTTGATCCACCGGCGACTCAGATCCTCCGGATCCAGACGCGGCATCGGAAGCAACCGTAGTCAACGACGGTTCGGAAGGAAGCTGAGCAGGCTGCTCAACAGGGTCAACGGGAACTGGGCGGACAAGTTCGTCAACGAAGAGTACCAAGTGATCGCTCATTGAGAAAATCAACAACCCTAGCGAAATGAAAACAAAAATTGTGAGAAAAACGTGAAGATCAAGATGGAGATAGAAAAAGGAGAGAAAAGAAGAGAGAAAAATCACCGAAAATTGGAAAGAGAGAATGAAAGTTGAATTGGGAAATTGTAAGAGTGTGTGTTGTCGATGGATTGTCTTGTTTTTATGAGATTAGATTTTTTGGTTTGAAAAAGGAAAGTTGGTGTTGTTCTACGCGTTATCTCTCACGCTTCGACATTGTCCTAACACGTGCGACTGGTCTTTTTACGACCGGTTCGGTTTATTAATACTGATTAATGTCCTATTTAATGAATTCATTACCTATTAACTATATTTGTTTGTTTTTTATGACATCACATTCATTGTTTGCATTGTTGGTTAACCACTTGTTATTATCGTGGGATATGTAGATTTCAACTTTTGGCTATACTATTTAACAAAATGTTTATTTAAAATGAAGGGAAACAAGAATATTAGTTGTATTGTTTATTAGTCATTTATTACCTATTAATTATATTTATTAACTATTACTCTTTTAAATTCTATTTACTTATAAGAAAAAATTAATTTTTAAATATATTGCATGATGTATTTAAATAGTATATAAGGTCAGATATATTGATTATTGGGTTAATAGTTATTTACTTCTATAATATAGGCGAATTTGATTTACTTTTTTAAAAAAAATTGATTATCTCTTATAATTTTTTAGTACCCCTAAGCGTATAAAAATCAAGAGGATAAATAAAAAAATATATATTATAAGAGATAATTTTTGTATTTAAGGGGCAAAGGACTTAATAATTTAAAATTTAAGAGAGATAGTTCAAAAAAAAATTAAAGTAGAATAAAACAAAACCAGCCTATATTGCAAAGAGAATTGTGCATTTAACTCTTGATTATTTAATAAATTTAAAAAATAAATATTTTTAATAAATAAAATTAAAGAGAGATTAATTTATAAATACAATTTAACAATTGTTGTATATTATTCTCTAATCATATAAATGATAATTTGAGAATTTGTTAGGAAGCTGATTAGGAACCCTAAAAAACCCTAAGAAAGTTGTAAAATAAAAGACAATGAAAAGATAACTAATTAAATTAAATTTTATTTGTTTTTAATCCTATTTCAAATGTATCAAAGACACTACATTATATAATGTCACTAATGAATAATTTAACAAAAGACTTAAACACTAAAAGCCCACTTAAATGATAATTGAAAAACTCAACTAAAATATAATAAAAGTACAACTAATAAACTAACTTAAATAATATTTACTCTCTATCATTGTCGACGGGTTCACTTGAACCTTGTCCTCAAGATTCTAAATACAGCCTCAAAATATATATTGTCTTCAAGAACCCCAAGGCTATGGATCTAAGTTCAGCACGGACGACGACCATTGGCGATGTCGAACCTCTTCTGCTAAAAATAGGCCTTCAGTATGAGTTTAGATGAAAGCCAACACAATGCTAGGAAAAAGTATGTCATCTTGAATTTGTAACCTCTTTATATCAATTAAGGAAGTACCTTGCAATGCTTTTGAAATGAGCAAAGTATAATCAAATTTGAATTTTGTAATAGGAAAAAAAGGAAAATGCAATTCAACATAAAAAAACATCCTTAGATGCTTCACCATTAGTTGTGAGTGAGATCTTTTTGGCAGTTAAGTTTCTAGAATTTCCCACAAATTCAATTGTGGCATTGTTGTTCACCAAATCAGAATAAAACTTTGTGTGTGACGTTGCTAATGTTGCATGATCCAACTCAGGAACAACAAGAGTAGTATTTAAAATATAGGCAGCCACAACAGCATCAACTATCCCTGGTCTTTGTTGATTTAAACCTCCACTGGTTACAATTAACACATATCGATCTGGATGAGTTTTGCTATTGGTTTTTACGAGTTGATACCGGTATTACTACATCCAGCGAAAAGCTGCGAGTTCGTCGAATTCCATAAATCATGCATGTAATTATCTCCACTAGTCGGAACATAAAACTCTGATTGATGATTCAAAATTAAATGAGACCTAACCAAGTTATTATTTTCAAGGTTTCCCTTTTTTTCGTTAAGTGAGTCCAAAATCGTATTTGTCAATATGTCTAAGCAATAAGTTTTCCATAGTAACATCATGAGTATACCACCAAATTTTATTGAAATAGGAGGGAAAAAGGCCATGTGAGATGTCCATCCATTTTGTATTCTTGACAGAATGTTACTCCTCTATTTATATCAACCATTATTAATCCTTCAACAAAAATAACAGAGGACTCTGTGGTAGCCGGTGTGATATAGCAATCATCCTCAAGAGTTAAAGCAAGTGCATCATAGATAAGTAGACGTAACCAATAATAGACTACTTCATAATACATATTCACAAAAGGTCTTGTAAGAATCAAACATTCAATTAGAACATCAACATGACTTTTCTTTGGACAGTCACCGTGCACTACTAAAAAAAAGACATTTGAGAAAAGGTTTTTACATCGGGTATCAAAATATATGATGTAAAAAATACAATTAACAAACTTTTTACATCAGGTATTTATTTGCAATGATATAAAAAATATGAAAAAAAAATATATTTCGCTACCTATTACATCGGGCAAACGCATCCACTGATGTAAAAAGTTTTCAGAAAAAAATACGGTGGCATTTTTGTAAATAAGAAACAAGGTAGTAGAAATATTAATAAAAAACATGCAACATATTACATCAGTTGACTAAAAACCGATGTAATATCTTCACAACAGATATTAATATAAAAAATAAATTAAAGAAAAAAAAGTTAGAAAAAAAAGCTTGCCAACCCTTACATCGGGTATTACAATGCACCGATGTAATAGCTTGCCAACCCTTACATCGGGTATTACAATGCACCGATGTAATAGGTGCATTGTAAAAAAAAAGTCAGAAAAAAAAGCTTGCCAACCCTTACATCGGGTATTACAATGCACCGATGTAATAGCTTGCCAACCCTTACATCGGGTATTACAATGCACCGATGTAATAGGTGCCAAACCCTTATTTCCCAAACAGTAGAAAAATTACAACTCCATCGTTATTCTTCCACCACTCCATCGCGCCGCGCCCTGTTCTGAAAAACCGTCTTCCTCAACCTCGCTTCCGATTCCGATTTTACATGCCCGCCCGATTCCGATTGCCAACCGTCTTCATCACCATCACCGCGAATGCCTTATAACACCGCCACCAACACCGAGTTCACTGCACGACACCCGCGATCCGCCTTCTAACCACCGGCCAAGAAGTCGCTGCGGTAAAACCCCTTTTCGGTAATATTCTTTGACCACCGTTTCGGCCGCCGTTTCCGGTCTTCCTCTTCGACCGCCGTTTATGGATCTTATGTTAAGTTTATTGTTGTTGGTGGTGTTAGGTTCATTGGTAATCTTGTTGATATAGAGGATCGTTTGGATGTTGAAATCTATGACCCTCTTTTGGGTTCTTGGGATTTAGCTCCTCCTCTTCCTGCTGATTTTAGATCTGGAAACTCTTCATCTTCACTCTCCCCAGCTTTGTTCGAAGGGAAGTTCTATGTTTTTGGGATATATTCATGTTTTGTTTCTTCCTTTGATTTGAAACTCGATGTTTGGAGTGATGTTAGGGTTGTTAGGCCTTCTGGGGTTGTGTTTTCTTTCTTGATTTCTTGTAGGGAAAGTCTTGTTTTGGCTGGGGTTTGTAATTCCTCAAGTGGGTCTAGCTTCACTTTGTGGGAGGTTGATGAGATGAGTATGGAGATTTGTGAGATTTCTGTTATGCCTCATGATTTGCTTTGTGGTTTATTTGATGGTGATGAGGATGATAGATTTGCTAGCTTGAAGTGTGTTGGATTGGGTGATCTTATATGTTTTCAATGAGGATTATCATAGGATGTACCCGGCTTGTGTTTGCGAGATTCGCCGGGGTCGTGGCGGGGAGAAGAGTGAGTGTTATTGGAGGAGAGTGCCTCAATTGCCATCACTGATGAATAGGTTTCACAAAGTTGTTAGCTTTTGTTCAGGTGTTTCATTGTATAGCATTCTGGGTGTAGGTCAACACCATGGACTTCATTGAGCTTTCCGCGGCTATGCGAGGTATCCACTCGTAATCTGTTGTGAATATGACTGTGTATGTATAAATTGCTATCACAATTATGTTATGTTTTCAATGTGTGATTGTGTGTGTATAGTTTGAAGAGTTAGCATAGTAGTTATATGCTTAGATGGAAGCTCTTGTAGCAACTGAGCTATACTTCATACTTAGCTTTCAATGTAAATAGATTACAATACACTACTTTCATTTTACAATATTCATTAATCTAACAACAATGCTATTTTTTGATTCAATTCAACAGCAAAAACAAAGGAAATAATCAGTGCCAAAAGAAGGTTCGGTTAGAAGAATGATTTGCACGCTGAAGAAGTTAATACATAGGTGCTGTTGCTGCACAACTGCACCTAAGGCATATGCATCATTCATAATAAGATAAGAGTAGTTCTAATAAATACTGTGTAATAATTTGATAACTATAGAATTTTATGAATTTGATAACTATATAATTTGATAACTATATAATTTCCATCATGTCCTATTATTAACCATTGCATCTATTCTTCTCTCTTTTGTACTATTAATTTTTTGTTAGTGTGATAATCCACTATTAAATTGGAAAAGTAGATAAGGCTGAATCAAATGTATTGTTTAGCTATCATAAAGCATGGATCAATCCTTGACTTTCTCTTCCTTTTTATCCATTTGATATTGCCAATTGTGTGGTCTTTAATAATTTCAAATGTAAATATAGTGGACCACATTAATGTGGATTATTCAATGGACCAGTTAGCCCTTGAACGGGTTAAAGTTGAATTTTTAACGGAGAATTTTTTTTCTTTCAACGGGCTGTTATTAAATTTTTTTTTTAAAGTTGAACCTATGAATGTATTGGTGTTGGTAAAAATGCTACACATTTCAAGAGTTATATAGCATCTCTTGCTCGACAGTATTGTAGTATTGTAAAAAATGATTGGAAAGAAGTAGATGAAGGCGTAAAAGATGCTATTTGGACTGATATTTAGGTATTTTAAATACAATAGTTACGTGATGAAAACAGAGTGTTCCACTTACTACCATTAATTCATGGGTAAGTATTTATATATAATTGTGTTTTATATTATTTAATTTTGATAACATATATATTTTATGAGACTTTTCTGTTTCCACACACACGTATAGGAGACATTGGCAATTAATAGTCATGTGTCCAAGAGACAATTTAGTTGTCGTATTTTGTTCACTTCATCGAGAAATTGACCATCACACGAAGAAAATTATTACAAAGTAAGTTTATCTTTCATGTGACTTTCATTGACAACTAATAGTTATGTCATTTTTCATCGGCGAGTAAATTTAGCTATGTGATGTTTATCTTTCTGTATTAGTTCTTTTGGGATTCATCAAATGGCAAATGGAAATAGAAAAAAGGCTACATGGCTTCATCCCAATGTAAGTGTCATGTAAACTGTAATTATATAGTTAAATTTATGATAAGTATTCACTAATTATGTCATTCAATTGTAGACAGGGCAATAACATAACTCTAATGATTGTGGATACTATGTGATGAAAAATATGTTGGATATTGTCTCTGCTAATATAACCGAGAATTGGATGCAGGTACTAAAAATAACTTTACTTTGTTATTTACTTTTTATTTTTCGACTTAATATGAATTTTTAAAAATTAACTCTATATTGTTATATTTATGTATTATAGATATTTGATGACCCAACAGAATTAACACAAGATGATTTGTATGATTTGCGACTTCGTTGGGCAAAATGTTTCTTTGAGTTACATGAAAATTAAGTTTATCTTGGTGAGTTTTATAGAATTATATAAGTTGTGGTTTTTGCACAATACATATGGTTTTTGCACATTTATTGAGTTTCTTGATTTTTTTGCTAATGTTAATTGTTATTATTTATTGTCAGGCAATGTGATTTTGGTGTTGTCTACCGAAGATTTTATATTGGTAATTTAAGTTTGGAAACTTATAAATAGTTGAATATTTTTGTATATTTTGTGAATAATATGTAATTGTAAGTTTTGAAAAAAGACTTATAAATAGTTGAATATTGTTGTATATTTTGTGAAGAATTTGTAATTGTAAGTTTGTTTGTTGTAATACAATACAAGTTTGCAATACAATTGTTCAATTTGTAAGTTTGTTGTGAAAAATATGAAAACATCGACCTAGATGTGATATATGTGATGTTGGAAAGCTATGAAATCTATATAGCGATATAAATATAGTTTGTGTGATATTGGAAAAATATGAAAAAAATGGGTATAACTTATATTTGTACAGGGAAACATCCAGAAAATAAATAATATATTCCAAAAAAATTTCATACATTTTACATCGGTTATTAGTAAAAACTGATGTTAAAACTTTTTAAAAGGGACTTTTTACATCGGTTGGGGATAAAAACCGATGTAAAAAGTCGCGTCACTGGGGACTTTTTACATCGGGTATTACTTCCAACCGATGTAAAAAACTGGATCAATTTTTAAAAAAAATATGCATAATAACTGTTTCTTACATCGGTTCATATATTATAACCGATGTAAAAAAGGGACTTTTTACATCGGGTATTACTTCCAACCGATGTAAAAAACTGGATCAATTTTTTAAAAAATGTGCATAATAACAGGTTATTACATCGGTTCTGATATTATAACCGATGTAAAAAAGGGACTTTTTACATCGGTCCCAGAACCGATGTAAAAAGTCCCTGATTTACTATATCGCCTGACTTTACATCGGACCCAGAACCGATGTAAAAAGTCAGTTTCACCTGATGTAAAAAGTCATTTCTGTACTAGTGGTGTATAAAAACAATACTAACTTGTGAATGAATATTTTCACTCATAATTTTTATCAAGGACTTAGCAGCTAGGATCACAAATGAATAAGTGTGAATATTATGTTGTGGGATCAAAGAAATGTTCATAGGCCAATTTCCAAACAAATAATCAGTTGTTGGAATCAAATAAATAACATCTCTGTGTATTTTTTCAATCAATCCAGCATGACTACCTGCAGTGAGTGCAGTCATGAAACTGACTCCATTTGGCTCGAACCCTTATTTCCTCATCGAATAGAAAGAACTCATAACCTCATCTACAAAGTCATGTTGAGAAAAACTAATAATGATTGAATTCAAAAACACCAATTTTTGTTGATTCATTCTATCAAACACCTTACGAGCAAGCTTTATGCAACCATATTGAATACACATATCTATCAATGAATTGGAAACTCTCACATAAGAATCATTAGAAATGTTTACCTTGGAAGGAGGTTGTAGAGGAGTGATGGGATTGTTGATGTCGAAATTAGGATCCGGTGGCTTTAGAGGAATCATGAAATCAACATTGTTGTAAACATTATTATCGTTGGAACGAGGCTTGATGGGAGGAATCATTTCAGTGATGAAAGTAGTGGTCGAAGGCGCTACGAGAGAAGGAAACTTAATTTGTGGTTGCTTCATGATGGGTGTGAGGTTATTAAAGTTGTGATTACAATTGGAGGTTCGACCTAACATGTCCAAACATGAGATTTTCTTTTTTGAATCGGAATTTGAGGGTTTTGGGAGAATCTCCATAAAAGCCAAATATGGTGGTTTTGGGGACGGGGGACTCAGAGCATGATTGTTGACCTTGTTGTCTTTCATCGCAACAATGACGCCTCTATGATGTTCATGACTAATGGGGCCTACAATTTCAAGTGGTAAAACCTTCATTATTGCCATCGATGGTAAAGGGTGATCCAAAAGTGTCTCAAGAACAGAAACCTGGTATACAGGAATTGTTGAAGTTGTGGAAATGGAATCTTCTGTATACAAGAGTTGAAGTTTCTTGTGAGGCTCCTTGGTGAACGAAATTACGTTTGATGATTCTTGTGGAGATGTTTCATTCTGTGATTTGTCAAAATCCTCAACAAAGTTTGAGAAATCTGCAGCATGTTCCTCTTTCTCATCTTCAATTGATAAATTTGAGCAATCGCTGAGTTCCGTCAATCACTGTAACTGTAACGCAAGTTCCTCTTCCTCGTCAATCGGTAAAATAGATCTCCATTCTGGCTTCAAGTGCTAAAGACATACAGTAGTGAATGTGTCCCAACATAATGGAGGTTGATGTTGAGACCGCCAAAGCCACCATTGATGAGCATGACTATGCAATCCGGTCACAACTTCTGGCACCATCATTTTTTCTGATGTTCCTTGTTCTTTGAAATATTTTTCAACAAATAGCACCCACCAATAGGAATCTTCTTCTCTAGTAAACACTGGAATGGCCATTGAATTTGGGAGAACGAGATCGAAAATGAGAGCACCAGTGTTAGAAAGCTAATTAAGAACCCTAATAAAACCTAAAAAATTTGTAAAATAAAATACAATGAAAAGATAACTAATAAAATTAAACTTCATTTATTTTCATTCTTATCTCAAATATGTCAAACACACTATATTATATAATGTCACTAATGAATAATCTAACAAAAAAAAAGCCTAAAACACAAAAAAACTCATTTAAATGATAATTGAAAAGCCTAATTAAAATATAATAAAAATACAACTAATAAACTAACTTAAATAATATTTACTCATTACATATATGGTATTAATTTTCTCAATTTAAAACTCATAAAACCTAACCATTACCATAGTCATTTCTTCACCATGGCTACATCCACTTTCCCACAAATAATGTTGGTTACACTTTGCCAAGCTCCAAAGAGTAAAGAGTTGCTATATCATATCATGTTTTCTAGTGTAGCACATGAAGAAAAACAAGTCTATTTCCCTTTTCTTTTTTTGTTATTTAATTGACTAATCGACTTTAACAAATCACATTATTATTATTTCCAACATTTAGAACAATTAAATTAAATACACATTAATTTATTTATTTTATTAACTTATAATTAAAATATTATTTATTAAAATACTCATATTCAGATACTATCATATTTATAAAACTGTTAAAATATTAAAATAACAAATATAATA